TCAAGGACCTATATACACACACACACACACACACACACACACACGGTGGCATCACCCAATAATACGCACTGCGATACATGGTAGAGTGCCATGGATCTACAATGGCACTCCAATGCACAACTACAGGGTCAACAGCGCATAAGGCTTTTTCCCTATTGCCATGCACCAGCAGCTTATTCTAAAGCCTTGGTCTCAACTGGTGGGTCGTGACCCAAAAGTGGGTTGCATCCCCTTGTTTAGTGGGTCGCCACATGCTTTCCACTTTTTCAGGTAAGAAGCTCCTCAGCTTCCACCCTAGCGCAGCACTGTCAGTTCTCGCGCCAAGCAGCCATTCAAAATATGCTGCCCGGCGCCGAGTGTCAGCTTGAGGTGGGGTGGGGTGAGGTGGGCTGGGGGTATGGCTGCGAGGGAGCTCCATCCATACGTGCATTGCTTACAGCTCTCTCACGTGCCCTGTAGAGGTGCCTGGACTAGAGTGAACAAAACAAACGACAAACGCACTCAACAATTTGTTACCAGTTATACAGTAAGGTGCACACGAAATGGGCTTTGAACAGTAAAACAGTAGAAAGGCATCATGGCACACTCACAAAACTAGCATGTAAAACAACATGTCTCACCACTAAGGATAATGACAGAGGTTTGGATACACGTCTTTAGCCGAGGATGTGTAAGCCGCACTGCCGCGCCAAGGCACCTCTTATAGTGCGGTCCTAACTCTAAACTATGAGAGTCTCCACCTTCGTGTGCACCTTACTGTATAACTGGTAACAAATTGTTGAGTGCGTTTTGTCGTTTGTTTTGTTTGACCGATTTGGTGCAGCGTACGCATGGGGTTTCTCAGCTGCCAATAGGATGTGCGGGATCCCTTGTGTGTTTCTGTACCTTTAAGGAGGTTGGGCGTCCTCCTGACAAACCTGCACCCAATTTGATATCTTCTGCCCCCATGTGCTCCAAGATGGAGACTCTCATAGTTTAGAGTTAGGACCGCACTATAAGAGGTGCCTTGGCGCGGCAGTGCGGCTTACACATCTTCGGCTGAAGACGTGTATCCAATTCTCTGTCATTATCCTTAGTGGTGAGACATGTTGTTTTACATGCTGGTTTTGCGAGTGTGCCATGATGCCTTTCTACTGTTTTACTGGACTAGAGTGAAGTCACATTCTGGCTCCTGGCACTTCTACAGGGCGCTCAAGGGAGCTGTACAAGCAATGCACATATGGATGGTGCTCACAGCACAGCAGCCCACAACTGAACCCCTGGCTGCGGATCCACTCCAGTTCTTGTAAGGTAGGGAGACTGGGTGGACCTTGAAAAGTGTGCAGTGTGTATGTGTGAGATTGTACATGCGTATGTTTGTCAGTAATTTTGAGGGCCTGGTCACAATAGTACAGTGTGGTAAACTGTACCATGCAATACCGTGCATTCTGGTGTGGGAGGTGTGTTGCACCGCCATTCATTTGAATGGTACTCCCATACACCCCCCCCCACAGTTCGTATGCCCGCACTAGAATGTTGTGCGTTCCACTGCAGTGCAACTTGGGTCGGTGTATTATTCTACTGGTGGAGCTTAACTGAAAGACAGCAATAAAAAGCCGACATGGGTTCTATGAAGTTTGGCCTAGTTACATTTTCATGTTATCCCGGAGACACAATCTACAAACTAGTCACAAAGTCCAACTCAGTCCGTTTTATCATTTGAAGAAGCATTGGCTTCCAGGCACCATGGTTATGAAGCAGTAGGCATCGGCCATCCTACTTAGTGTCAGAAGATGGTTCAGGCCCTTTCATGACCAGTTATGTTCAAACTTTGGAAACTGCAAAAAAAAGAAGAAGTTCTCCCTGTTCTCTCCAGTAGGACTTAACAAGTGAATACCAGACACACAGAGGAATCAGAGAGCAGAAAAGAAGGACCTGAAGATCAAGAGACGTGACCATGCATGATATGATTCCCTCAGTAACTTCAGAAGCTCTTTGAAATGTTTCTTCCCTAAACATATGCTGGATCTATACCGTACAGGTACTCATGATGAAAGATCTCATGGGACAAAAAGTGGGCTTCTCTCTACAGACATGAGTCGTATAATACTGAGATCTCCAGAAAGAGACCTTTAAAACAGGACAACCAGCAAACCGGTATTTCCAGCTACACTAAAATCAACCTTACAAACCAAAAGCAGATTGTTCATTAAAGGAACTTTACAATAACAAAGTAGATGGCAAAAAAAAGTCTTATTGTGATCAATGACAGTACTGTGGAGCTCTACCACAGAAGTGAACAAGAGGGGTGTTGCCTGTGCTCACCACAACCCCCTTACAAGAGGTGAACTATCAATAGTGGGAGTATTGCGGTCATTCTCCTTGTGAAAGAGTTCTGGGTGGATTGCCAGACTGTTAAGCGTTACTCGTTTTTGGGAGACCCCCTTTAAAAGTGTAACCACGGGAAAATTAAAAATGACATCTATGAATAGCATGAAACACAGCAGTTTTTGTTGTGCTGAGTTCTCCTTTGTTCTGTTGATTCATCCAGTAGTTCAATTATTTCCAGTAATAGGGTGACATATGGGTGCTGTGACACTCAATTCTTTGGGGGAAAAAATACAAAGATGAAGTTGCATCAAGTAAATAGATACCAAACATGCCAAGCCTTTAAATTGTGTGCGCCTGTGCAACGGCAAAAAAAGTACAGTACCCAAAATTGTCCTTAGGCAATGCTTTAAAAGCCTTTACAGATTCAATTTAGAGTTAACCGCAAGCTTTGTGGTCCTGCTGTCGGTAAATATTTTTTTTCCCCCCCAGACAGAATAAAAAAAAAAAAGAAGAAAACCCCAGACTCAACCATTAAAGCAGGGCTCAGCTCCCATAAGGCATTGCAAAACCATAGCCACACGTATGACTTCCAGAGGAGCCATGACGGGATTTGTAGGTGCACCAAAGCTGGAGGGCCGAAGCATGCCTACTGTTGCATTAAAGGTTCTCTTTAAAGAATAGTTAAAGTTGGGCATACAAAAAATAAATAAGCCTCATTACATATGGGGAGCGCCTGGGGTACATGTGTGGAAGTGAATTAACTGCATGGTCTGCTACTACATGTACAAAGACATCGTCCAGCTGGGGTAGTAAAGAACAGCGTTCACATTCTATATCTACGGTTATGAAGAGGGTATCATTATTTATGTATGTAATCCTTTTAGTAGTAAATATGGAGTTAGGTTTTAAAAATGGTAGAGATGAAAAACAGAGGTCTCATGCAGATAGCAAACAAAACCTACTGGATCTGGAGAGAGGCGATTTGGGGTATCAGGATGGCTGTTGGATTCTTTTCCCTTTTTCTTCTTCTTGCCGCCTGCGGCTGTCGGAGGGGTGGTCTTCTGCTGATATTCCTTTAGCTAGGAAAAGATTGCAGTGATCAGAGCACAATTCAAAGACAGACTATAGTGAATGTACACTGAAGACATATCATAGTTATCACTACCACCCGAAAATCATGTTGTATATGACAGTCGCATTTCTACAAGCTTGCTATTTTTGTTACTGTATAAAATGCATTCCTA